CTTGCGATAAATAATATAAATTTGGTGATTTATTTAGGTTTGTAAACACCTGTGAAGCAAACTGCGAAAATTTTAATACCAAAATGCAAAACAGCTTAATTGGACCGTGTCCTCTCCGAGCCGGGTCAAATAGCTGTGAATAAATCGATATTTTTGTTTACTGAGTACGTGCTATATGATTGGGCCAAAGCTATTATACTTAGCCTTCATAATTGGTTAATCGTCAAAAGTATCGTTTTTATTAATTTTTTCTAATGATTTATTATTTTATTGTTTTATAGATTAGAAAATATATTTAGAAAATAAACTTTTTTTAGAAAAACCATAATTGAGTGTTTATTTTAAATGTAGTATTTTATGTAAAACCAAGAACATATAATCAGAACTGATTTCTCTTAATGGTTTTTTTATAATAACACTTATACTATATACTGACTAAAACTACTTTATCACCATCATCATATCAAGCTTTCATAAGTACACTGCTGAACATAGGCCTCCCTCAAGGAATGCCACAATGGAAGGTCTTGAGCTCCGTGCATCCATCGACTTCCTGCATCTCTTACCAGATTTTACTCTATCGAGTGAGGAGATGCCCTACACATCACTTGCCGTTACGAGGCTTCTACTTGAGCACCTTTCCTGTCTATCGGTTATCGGTTCTTAGAGCTATATATCCAGCCCATTCCCACTTCTGCTTACTTATCCGTTCGACTATGTTGGTCACTTTCATCATTCTGCGAATAGTGTTATAATAATTTCTAATTCTATCACCTAGAGAAACTACGAGTATAGCCCTTAGCTCGCTGAGCAGTGAAGGACCACGTCTCAGATCCCCTTGTCATTACTGGCAACATGCACTGGTTGTGCACTTTTGTTTTCCAGTTTTGACGTGACTAACTAACAGTAAAATCGATCGATTGATCTCACTCACTAAGTCTGACTTATCTAGTCGGACAATTTGCCGTGTAATGGCGTTTAAGAATATCCATTACCCTATATCTTCCCGTGGGTGTCATAAGAGGTGACAGGGGGAAACAGGCAAAAAATGGACAGCAGCATCTTTCTGATAAAAGCAATCGTACTATAAAAAACCTACGGTTGACAACCCGCTCGCCAAGCGTGGCAACTAGAGTAAACTTGGAGGATGTTTGCTAATGCATGCATGATAAAATTTACGAAGAGATGGTCTCCAGTCCCCAACGTCCCCGCTATTCCTGGTTACAGTGGCGAACATCGTAACGGCGGGTCATGGGTGGAGGTTCGGTTGCCGTCCTAAGACGACTCAACCTGGCAACATACAAAGCAATCACCCTGAGGACTGACGAGAAGATCCCGGAGCTGGAAGAAGAGACAAGTTGGGATGAGATGTTATAGGATTATCTGAGATTCGAAGGGAGAGGACACGGTAATCCTAGAATCCGGCAACTTCTGTTCTATCATCGGCAGGGCGACCATCTATCCAAAGTAGGTGTCGGATTGATCTTCAACAAGTCTCTCCTTAACAATGTTGTAAAATTGTGAGTGTGTCCTCGAGGGTTGCATACCTTATATTCAGAATTACGAAATGGTATTCGTTGAACGTCATAATATGAGGCGGTGGACGAAATGAGTGATATATCTAAAGCACGCATTCCTCGAAAACCCACTATACGGTGTTAATGGGAGGAGTCAACGCAAAACTAGGCACAAGAACAAGAATAGGAAGACGAAAATTGAGATTTTATTATAATGATTGATTTTTATGACATTTTATGACTTTTCTATGACGACTAGACTGCAAATGTTTAGTGGTGTCTCAATTATCTTGAGGGTAAAAACTGGCAGCGAACACCGAATGGTTAGATGTGCATGGAACCTAAACGTTAAGTTGGAGAGGTCTTTTCTAATGAAGTCTAATCCAAAGTCCCGAAACCTTTAGCTCGAGTTACAAAACCGTTTTAAGTGCCTAGAACACTGCAATGAAGTGGACGATATAAACTCTTAGCTTACGGTCGGAGCTAAATTCTGCAAGACCCACAAAAACTCTCCGATCACACTCTTAATCTCATGGCTATTAGACGGGAATGGAAGCTGCAGTCTTCAACAGATGTGTGAGCATATAGGCAACTGAACAGACAGATCTCCAAATTCATGCGGCGGGACTTCATTATCATCATCATCATTACATCCCTTCATAAGTCCACTGCTGAACATAGGCCTCCCCCAAGGAATGCCACAAATTACGATCGTGAGCCACCTGCATCCATCGATTTCCTGTATTATCTATCAATTTATAAAGATGATGAAAAACCAACAGATTTCTATTACGGCTTATTCATGTCAATGAAAATGTTAAGTTATGAACTTTTACTTTAATGAGTTATTTTGGACGGTTAGCTCATGTTATTGGACCAGCACTCATCGGCAGGGACAAGGCAGAGGATTTTAAATTTATTAAATTGAGTTCTATTGTTATTAACTTAAACTTTTCCGGTCTTATGCTTATGCGATAAGACTGGTAGAAATTACTACCAGTGTTTTGCCTAATAATTGACTTCGGTTGGTATTCTAGGGATGTGAAAATAATATAGAATATCAAGCCTAATTGTCAAGAGAAAACTGAAATATTTACAAATGACGTACTTACATTGACATTTATAAATGTTATTTTTTTAAAAAATAGGCTGATTAATGCAATCGGCGATACAACATTACTCTAATCTGAAATATTTAATTGAGACAATTAGTATAATTAGTCATTACTTTGCGGAAATCCATTATACGTGTCAACCTAATGTAGTGGTGGCATTACTTGTGATGGTGACTGTGCACGCAATTGAGGGGCAGGAAAAGATGTTTTTTTTTTGTAACTTTTTACCATGAAACATAATTCACTTTCATAAATAATACATTATATTAATGAAACATTATATTAATGAATTAGGTAAATATTACTTCGAGAACGTTTATGCATAAAATACACACAAAGGTCAACTCACACTGATACGGCGGGCGACAGTGCGTCGCGGATTTCTCACATGAAATTGGAGTGACAAACAACCTAATAATCCACACGATGGTACGAATAAGTACAGCCCATGATTTTTTTTAATATAGGATAAGGTGACAAACGAGCGCACAGTCCACCTGATGGTAAGTGATTGCTGTGGCCCATAGACATCTACATCTATCCTCGTTTGCGAAAAAATGCAGATGCGTTGTCACCCGTGAGGACTAAGATGGAATGCCTATTTTCCAGTAAAAATGGTCTCCGGTTCTCTACACTCATCATACGAAACACAGCAGTGTTAAGCTGCACCTCACAGATTGTAAACCGGCTTTCTTTCCCTTCCAATCGGGACATAGAAGTGGCTGCACTCTGCTGCTTGGCGGCATGAGTAAGTACGAGGATTTAAAAAAACCCAGTTGGAATCCTAGGTAGAAAGAAGCCTGAAGAAGTAATGAAGATGTTCGAAGTTACTGTTTTTGTGAGGGACCGTGCTGCCTTAACTTGTGTCGCTTGACACAAAGCGACGCCATATTCGTATGGCATCGATCGGTGAACAACTTCGTCACAGTGTGAGTTGGCCCTAATGGATTTACTTAGAATTCTGGGTACATCATGGATCGTGACTGATAAAAATTCAATTCATTATGATTTGTTGAAAAATCATTTAAATTGAATAAAGTACTTAAAATATCGAGCATCGTAGCCATACACTTAGTAGCAATAAATATTAAAGTTAGAAAAAGAGGGAACCAAGTACAATATTTCTTCTTTGTGTAAAAGAGAGCAATCTTTTTTTTACGTGGTAGAGCCACGCTGCAGCTATATTAATTGTATAGTAGTAGCACGAATGGGTTGGCTCAACCGGGGAAGGACCACGCTCTCACAGAATACCAGCGTTAAATAGCGGCTTAATGCTTCTGTGTTTCGTATGGTGAGTGTAGAGAACCGAAGACCCTTTTTACTGGAAAAGAGGCATTCCATCTTAGTCCTCACGGCTGACAACGCATCTGCATTTTGATTTGCATACGAGGATAGATGTAGATGTCTATGAGCCACAGCAACCACCCACCATCGCGCGGACTGTGTGCTCGCTTGTCACCCTTATCCTATAAAAAAAATTTGAGCTTCCTCATACTGCCAGCAGTGAGTTATGCACTCTTGTTTTTAAATTTAACGTGATGAGAAGATGTGTCGTAATCTTTCGAGTAGAATCGATCTATTGAGCGTTCGGTCAAAGTTGGACTTATCTAGTCGGTCAATTTAGACCTAAGCAAACATATTCTTCGAGTACTTCGTGCTTAGTGCTCCCAACAATTACATAGGCATAACATGAACATTTACATTATACATGACTGCTAATTAATAATGTAGGTATTACACTAATTAATGGTGTGATACACTTCTTTCATAACTTTTTTATTTCCCTACTTTTCGGGTGCTTTGGTAATTTATAACACCACTATCACAGATGGTCTCAGGTGTTTGACATTTTGTTGTCATATTCAATTCAGGCGATATTCCACTTTTAAATATAAATTATTGGTTTGATCTACGCAAGACAAGCTTATATTATTGTAAAGTCTGGGAGTAGTATGCTTGGGTTAGAATTTAGTTTATTAGTAGTATTTTTTAAATTATAGGATCACAAGCATATGGTAGCACCCAGCCATCTTCGCAGACATCAGGGTATCAAGCATCTCTGTGCCCTCGAACAAAATATCCATTATTAGCAGATACGTAGGTACAGACGTAACAACTGAACTCATACAACTTCATAGTCAGTGAATTGTTTGTAGCACCCAAAACGTTATAAATTAAAAATAAATGGAAATATTTTTCGTTTTGAAATAAAAATTAAATTTTTCATTAACATCAGTATATCAGTCTGTGATGCAAATTAAAGGTTTCAAATGTAACAAATATTTATGATAACGAAAAAAATAAAATGCTATTAAGTATGCACGCAAAGAGAAAAAGTATATTTCGCTACAAACAAACTGTAATGGTGTTACAATACATTATTAAACTGTAATGCAATAACTGTATAAGAGGTAAATAGCATGATGCACGTTGGAGGTAAGCTCATGTCCACTACAATGGATCCAAATGCCCGGATCTGCAACGGACGTTTGGAGACAAATCGAAGCAGGTCTTTTGTAGCTCTGTATATTTCAATATCTGAAAATAAATATTTTTTTTATTTTTATATATTAAGCGTGGGAAGGACACGGGTCGTTCGCGTAAACATTACAAAATTAACGGCGAGCGCTTAGTCCGTGCGATACCATGGCTAATAGCAATTAATATTTACCAGGTGCTTAGCGGCGAAGGAAAACATCGCGAGGAAATATGAATGTCTCAGGCATATGAAGTGCGCCAACATGCACTATCAATTGCATAATCCATTACTCTCTCAGAAATGAGTGGAGTTCTGTGTTCTGAGGAGATGGACGTTTATTGTTGCTGTCACTACTTAAGTAAGCTATAACTTAACTGAGAGTAGTAGGCATAGTAGTAGGCTCTTATCATTTTTTTCCTGTTCATTATTCCGTAGAAGGCCATAGCTGAATATAATCCCATATGGGAGAGTTAGTCCTAATCGTAACGGTTGGCAGGGTGGTTGACGCTCGCAGTGTCAGACGTGAAACAACATGATAGTTATATTAGCAACCATCAAACTAATATTTTTTTTCTGACAGTACTCATAGTTGCCACTTACTATACACATGGAACGAGATGGAGTGATAGATTCTCTTGCACCGCGACCACACAGCAAATTTTTATCTTTCAATATCTCCTAAAATATACGACCAACTGACATGCTGAACAGGGTACACATTATGAAATTTCCCAGATAATATAATTTAAAATCAAAAATTTTGTACAGCCGACTTCAATATAAGTTATTATGAATAACTCAAAAACTATTGGTCTGCCCTTGATCAAATTCATATGGGACCACACGAAAAGTACCAGTTTTCAAATAAAAAAAGAACCATTAAAATCGGTTCACCCAGTAAAAATTTATGAGGTAACACCAATAAAAAAAAAACATACAGTCGAATTGAGTACCGTCTCCTTTTTGAAAGTCGGCAGAAAATAATTCTTAGCGTATATAAATGTATAATATTTTGTCTAACAAAAATAATTCAAAATTTCTTATAATATTAAATAATTAATTTTTGACAAAAATAAAGTTATTGCGGATTGAATATAAAGGCTACGTATACCGTATTACTAACTTTATTAGATCTATGGATGAATAATATGTAATATTCTTGTTTGGTCAGAGCACGTCAATAAATCTGCTAGTAGCATTTCGAATTGAAATCTAATTTTTAACAAAATAAAGTAAAGCCTATCTCACTCACAGAGAGTCCTTTATATTTATAAAATATTTTTCGGATCGGTTGAGTTGTTTCTAAAGACAAACAAATTAAACCATTTCGTTTTATATTATTAAGTAAAAGAGTAAAAACATTCGGTTCGCTGGGCATAAATGAAAGATTATATTAATGAAAATAATTCATTATAAATATTATAAAATTAGCTTTTTACTCGCGGCTTCGCTCGCGTGAGCTTGAATTTAGGAACATTATCACATGCTGTTCCGTGCCAAATTTAGCAAAATTTGATCACTTCTATTCGACAAGATGATTGGTATTTGGCATAGATATAATATACTGGAACACGTGAATATATATGTCTACAAACATCTACTATTTTTATATCGGGAGTGTCTTCCGATGTATCCATAAGAAAGGTAAATTGTCTTGGAATCAAAATGTATTATTATTATTTACATTTTAATCTTTAAGGTGCTGGAGAGCCATTCTAATCTCGAGCTTCTGAAAGCATGTGGAAGACCGATACTTGAAGTCCTTCAGAAGCTCTTTAATTCCGTCCTCCATGGTGGCACTACACCGGAGGCGTGGAGCAGATGTGCGGTGGTCTTATTCTTCAAGAAAGGTGACAACGCTCTCTTGAAGAACTACAGACCGATTTCCCTTCTGAGCCGCGTCTACGTTCTGTTTTCGAGAGTCATTACGAATCGTCTCGCGCGTAGACTTGACGACTTCCAGTCTCCCGAACAAGCTGGTTTCCGAAAAGGCTTTAGCACCATAGACCACATACATACCCTTCGGCAAATTGTACAGAAGTCAAAGGAGTACAATTTGCCACTATTTCTGGCGTATATGGACAATGAGAAAGCCTTTGATTCCATCGAAATTTGGGCGGTGCTGCAGTCCCTTCAGCGATGCCAAGTTGACTGTCGGTATATGAAGTGCTGAAAACCTTGTATAGTAGAGCTACGATGGCTATCCGAGGGCAGAACCAGAGTACGAAACCTATCCATTTGCAGAGAGGTGTAAGACAGGGTGACGTGATATCCCCGAAACTCTTCACCGCAGCATTGGAAGACGTTTTCAAGCTTCTGAACTGGAAAGGATACGGTTTTAACATCAATGGTCAGTACATCACTCGACTTTGATTTGCCGACGATATAGTCCTCATGGCAGAATCGCTGGAGGACCTAAGCACTATGCTCAATGACCTCAATAGTGTTTCCCAACGGATAGGTCTTAAGATGAACATGGACAAAACAAAGATCATGTTTAATGTCCATGTCACTCCTAAGCCGGTAGATGTTGTGGACACTAAGCTCGAAGTTGTTGACGAGTATGTTAACCTAGGACAAATAGTCCGACTAGGTAAGTCCAACTTCGACCGAGAGGTCAATCGGCGGATTCAACTCGGTTGGGCAGCGGTCGGGAAATTACAGCACATCTTCTTGTCAGTTATACCTCAAAACTTGAAAACAAGACTATACAACCAGTGCGTGTTGCCAGTGATGACTTATGGTACTGAGACGTGGTCCGTCACTGCTGGCCGGATGAGGAAGCTCAAGGTCGCTCAGCGAAAGAGCTATGCTCGGAGTTTCTCGGAGGGAAACTTAGAAATGAGGATATCCACAGTAGAACCAGAGTGACCGACATATCTCAACGGATTAGTAAGCTGAAGTGGCAATGGGATGGCCATATAGCTCGAAGAACCGACAACCGTTGGGGAAAAAAGGTTAGGTAGGGCGTCCCCCCACTAGATGGAGTGACGACCTGGTAAGATATGCAGGAAGTCGATGGATGCAGGTGGCTCAGGACCGTGCTTCGTGGCATTCTTTGGGGGTGGCCTATGTTCAGCAGTAGACTTGTGAAGGGATATAATGATGATGATGATGATGATATATATATAAATAAGTTTTTATTAGCTGTATAAGAATATCCACTACACCATATCGTCTCGTGGGTGATGAAAGAGGCGCAGAGAGAAATAATTTAGAAGATGCGCAGCAGCGTCTTCCTAGTAACAACTAAAAATAAAAGACTGCGGTCACCAACCCATCTGCCAAGCGTAGAAGCTATGGTAAATTTTCCACTATTTATGGGGGAGGCCTATGTTCAGCAGTGGACATTTGATGGGTTATAACGGTTAGTATAAGAACCAGCTAAATTCCTAGTCAATAGAAACCGAAGTTTAACATTTTGATTTAATATCATTGACACCTGTACTCCTTCCACCCTTTGGAAGATGTTTTTCAGAATAACAATTTTTTGTGTACGTTAAGAGACATTATACTACCAAATTTCAGTTCTGAAGAAGTGATAAGTAAGTTAAGTAGTTTAATTAAGTATCTTATAAAAGTGAAGAGACAAACGACCTTACAGTCCGCCTGGTGGTAAGTGGCTATTGCATTCTATGGACACCTGCAATTTGCTTCTACCTCACCTCACCACCTGTGAGGAATTGAGTGGAATGCTTCCAAGCCTGTTAATATTACAATTCTATACCATTTAAACTGGAACACAGCAGTGCAAGTACTGCTATTTGACGGAAAAATAGGAAAGGTATGGAGAAAAGGAGTCCTACCTAGTAAATTATTATAACTTACCGACGTTTTTTTTTTATAAAAGAAGGGTGACAAACGAGCACAGCTCGTTTGCCACAGTGCAGTGTTTGCTGTGGCCCATAAGCATCTATATCTATCTTCGTTTGCGAATTAAAATGCAGATGAGTTGTCAGCCGTGAGGACTAAGATAGAATGCGTCTTTTCCCGTTAAAAGGGTCACCGGTTCTCTACACTCACCATACGAAACACAGCAGCATTAAGCTGCTAGCTTACTCTGGTATTCTGTAAGAGCAGTGTGTGAGAGTGGTCCTTCCCCGGTCGAGCCGACCCATTCCACCATTATAAAGTAGGTGTTTCCAAAGGAAGAGTGAATAGCTTTTTTTACTCTAAGACAATGTGATTTTATTATCACCGCTAAAATCAAGTGGGATAGTGGGCGAAGACTGGCTTATTAGAAATAAAAAGAAGCACCACCGCGACTTCACTTGTATGAATTCTCACAAAACCCGCTCTTAGCTAAATTCTACATGTCCAAAGAAATATACCTGCTAAATTTTAACTCTGTAGAGCTTATAAATAAAAAACGGGAGTATTTTAGAATTTGATAACCACGCAACTTCTAATGACACTAGTTTTTTAAAAACTTCTTTAGCTAATGTCCATAAAGTTAAAACAAATACCAACCAATGTACAATGTGTCCAGTTTTGTAGTAAAAACTACCGGCCGGTATATGCACATAATTTTATAGAAAAAAATACCCCACATTTTGCAATCCCCACCCCCTTAAAGATAGAGCAATTTTAGTATCTGACTTACTTAGATCGATACCCACATAGCCTAACAACCGTAACTTCGGACCAAGAACACACTGTGGTTACACTTAATGTCTTTTAGAAATCTGTCCCAGCTGATTGATTGTGGCAACATAATACGACCAATCAGTTGGTCTTCTAAAAGACTGGTCCCAACGCTTATTGAATACTCAAGCTGAAAACTTGCCGGTAGCAAAAGTATGTCATATTGGTCCGTGTGAACTAAGCACGTGAAACAAAGTGTGTATATTTATATGTTGCAAATTAAATTCGAGAAAATCCTAGTGTATGGTGAGGAAAGTCACTAAAAAAGAATTTCTCAGGGCAACTGCCTGCTTAATGAACAGGGGCGTTCATTTTAAATAATTTCTGTAGTTAAAATATATTGATTGTACCTACTAATAAATGTGTTTTTTTAAATATTTGTGTTTATCATTTTTATTTCGCTATTATATTTGTTGAATATCAAAAGATCCAGTAAAGCCGATACACCCTCGCAAAAGGGTCAATTTTGAAAACAGTAGCAATTCAAAACTATTGTGTGTACCGCTATGTCATTTATATTACTCTGTACCTACAATAACTAAAAGACTAACAAAAAATCTGTAAATGATATTTATAATTCCTAAAGTTTTTGCAGAATTTTAGGAAATGCAATAAAAACGCGTGAAAATACGTTTTAAAATTGTATTTTATAGCTGACATGATATTTTTGTTTTTCTATGCTATGACCATAAAAATAACTTTATAAGTACGCCTACTTACTACTTACTACTAGACCTAGGTCCGTGGTTACGGTTGTTGACTTTTGGATGTCGAAATACGAGTAAGTAAGTAATTTACTTAAATTGCCATATCTTTGAGAGTGTGGGGTTTGCACCCTTTTAATGGGGTGTATTTATCGATCAAGTTATTTGTATATACTGACCTTAAAGTTTTTACTACAAAACCGAACACATTGTATAATAGAAACCAATTTTAACGTGAAAGTCAATTTATACAACTAAATAAATTGAGTTTCTATTTGTAATTTCAAAATAACAGCTCTTTACTAAATGCATATGAAAGTATATACGATTCTTATAAAACAAAAACAAATTTATTTAAAATTTTGTCTGTATGTCCGTTTGTTCCGGATAATCTCCAAAACGGCTGGACCGATTTTGACGGGAATTTCACTAGCAGATAGCTGACGTTATAAGGAGTAACTTCGGCTACTTTTGTTGTTGAAAAATAATTAAGGTTCCGTGCAAAAGAACACCTAAATTACACGCGGTTGAAGTCGCGGGGAACAGCTAGAGTCTGAAATTCAGCTCTGTAAAAATTGTCGTTCAAAAATGAAATCATCATCACGATCGTTACAGCGCTTCACAAGTCTATTGCTAAACATAGGCCTTCCCCAAGGAATGCCACAAAGCACAGTCCCGAGCCACCTGGATCCATTGGCTTCCTGCATGGCTTACCAGGTCGTCGCTCCATCTAGTGGGAGGACGCCCTACACTTCGCCTGCCGGTATGAGGCTGCCTCTCGAGAACCTTTGTTCCCTATGGGTTGTTGGTTCTTCGAGCTATATGGCCGGCATACTAATTCTTTGACCTATGCTGGTTACTCTGGTTCTACTGCGAATATCCTCGTTTTTAAGTCTATCACGCAGAGCAACGCCGAACATAACCCCCTCCATAGCTCGCTGAGCGACTTTGAGCTTCCTAATATGGTAAGCAGTGAAAAACCACGTCTCAGATCCATAGGTCATCACTGGCAACACGCACTTATTGTACAATCTAGTTTTGAGGTATGTCTGACGAGATGATGTTTCGTAATATCTCGAACGGTGCCCAGCCGAGTTATATCCGTCAATAGCCTTCTCGGTTTAAGTTGTACTTACTAGTCGGACTATTTATTCCAGGTAAACATATTCGTTAACAACTTTGAGCTTAGTGCTTCCCACAACCACCGGCATAGTTGTGACATGGACATTAATTTTTTAGAACTATCCGCTGGGAGACACTATTGAGGTCATTGATCATAGTGCTTAAGTCCTCCAGCGATTCTGCCATAAGGACTATATTGTTAGCAAATCGAAGGTGAGTGAAATACTTGCCATTGACGTCAATACCGATTTTTTTCCAGTCCAGTAGCTTGAAAACGTCTTCCAATGCAGCGGTGAAGAGTTTTGTGGATAGAAAGTCACTCTGTCTTACACCACTTTTGCAGTTGGATAGGTTTCGTACTCTGATTTTGTACTCGGATAGCCATCGCAGCCCTACTGTACAAATGCTTAGATATACCGACAGTCCACTGGGCACCACTGAAGGGACTGCAGCACCGCCGAAATTTCGACGGAATCTAAGGCTTTCTCATAGTCCACATACGCAAGACAAAGTCGCAGATTGTACTCTTCAATCTTCTGTCAGATTTGCCGAGGGTGTGTATGTGGTTTACGGTACTAAAGCCTCTTCAGAAACCAGCTCGTTTGGGAGGCTTGAAGTCGTTAAGTCTGCGTGCGAGAAGATTCGTAATGACTCTTGAAAACAGCACGTAGACGCGGGTCAGAAGGGAAATCGGTCTGTAGTTCTTCAAGAGAGCGTGTCGCCTTTATTGAAGAACAAGACCATTGCACTTGTGCTCTACGCCTCTAGTGTAGTGCCACTATGGAGGACGGAATGAAAGAGCTTCTGAAGTACATTAAGTACCGGTTTTCCACCCGCTTTTAGAATCTCTGCTGTAATTCCATCCTCGGCTGAGGACTTGCCGTTTTTAAGGTGTTGGAGAGCCATTCTAATCTCGCTCAGACTGACGTCCGGGATATCATCGGAATAGTGTCAGATAATACTTGCTCTATACGGCTCTGTCCAAGTGAACAGCTCTGTTAAAGTTGCGTAAGTACCGCCGCATTTGCAGATCTGTTTGTTCAGTTGCCTGTATGCTTTCAAATCTATTGAAGACTGCAACTTCATTTCCCATCTAACAGCCATGAGATTAAGAGTGTGATCGAAGAGATTTTGTATTCTTCTGCGGCGGGTCTTGCAAAACTTAGCTCCGACCTCATGGACAGTTTCCACTAGTTTGTCATTCATATCGCCAACTGCATTGCAATCTTCTAGGCACTGAAAACGGTTTTGTATATCGAGCTGAAAGGACATTGGATTAAAGCACGAGGGGGACGGATCGTTGACTTCATTTGAAGACACCTCATCTCTCATTAATATTGTCTCATTAATTGCCAAACCGTCGGGGCTCAACCAGGTACACTTCCTGTTGGGCCGCTTCTGGAAGAAAGAGTTCATCATAAAGAGTTTCCCTTTCTCCATGAAGTCGGGCAGCTGCTGGCTCTTTGGGTTTCGTTTCTCTTTTACGAAATTCCCTACATTCACCTCACCCTTCTCTCTTGTGCCTAGTTTTGAATTGAAGTCTCCCATTAACACCGTATAGTGGGTTTTGGAGGAATGCATGACTCTAGAGATTTCTTAATACATTTTCTTCAGCTTCTCCTCTGTATGTGCCCCAGTTGGTTCTTAAACCTGTTTGACCTTTAGCAGCCTTTTTTATACGTGGTAGGACCATGCTGCAGCTATATTAGTAGTATAGTTGTAGCACGAATGGGTCGGCTCGACCGGGGAAGAACCACGCTCTCACAGAATACCAGCGTAAAATAGCAGTTTAACGCTGCTTTGCTTCGTATGGTGAGTGTAGAGAACTGGAGATCCTTTTTACTGGAAATGAGGCATTCCATCTTATTCCTCAAGGGTGACAACGCATCTACATTTTTATTCTTAATTGAGGATAAATGTAGATGTCTATGGGCCGCAGCAACCATTCACCATGAGGTGGACCTTGTGCTCGTTTGTCACCCTTATCCTATAAAAAAAAACCTTTAGCAAATACCGTTTGGTGATTCTGAGTATAAGGTACGCAACCCTCTTCGACACACCCCCAAGCTTTACAACGTTGTTAACGAGAGACTTGTAGATGATTAATCCGACAACTCCTTGGGGCACATGTTCACCCCTGATTACCATATCCACACCCTCTTTTCGGTATAATAGTCCAGCGCAACTTGTCTATCTCCTGTTCCAGCTCCAGGATCTGCTTGTTAGTCCTCAGAGTTCGTGCGTTATAAGTTGTCAGGTCGAGTCGTCGTAGGCAGCAACCGAAGCTCCACCGGAGATTTTTAGCACCCCCTGCCCCGCCGTAACCACTGTAGCCACCGTAGCCACAAATAGCGGGGTCACCTGGGACTGGGGGACGTTTATTAGTATCGTTGCTTATGGGGGTTATATTACCATAGTTGCCACGCTTGGCAAGCCGGCTGGCAACCGTATTTTTTTAAAATTGATTTTTGCTTTTATCAGAAAGTTTCTGCTGCCCATCTTTTGCCTTAATTTCCTTCTGTCACCTCTTACGACACCCACAGGAAGATATAAGGTAGTGGGTTCATACTCACCACTGCACGGGAACAAAGAAGGGATATTTATATAAAATACCCCCCCAACCCACTTTCCGATTTATGCTGAAGCCGTTCTTGACGGATCTTTACTCAGCCAAAGTAACATTCTTACCATATTTTAAAACAGTGTGTATCAATTCTAAATTTAGTTGTAGCCTAGGTATTCGTTGGCTTACTTGTTGTTGTTCGAAAGTTCTTACCTTAATAGACCAGGAAAAGAGTATTGAACTTAACTGGAAATTAAGGGAAAAACATACCTTGAATTGAGTAAGTTAGAAGTTTTGCCAGGGAGCGTTTTAATGTATCCACATTATTTTGCATTTTCTGTGCCGCTTTTGACAGAAGAAATATTTCAACTTGGTTTAATATTATTTTAATGCAAATTTTAAGCAACAGCCATGTTGTATTTTTATATCTCTGCAAGTATTTAAAAAAAATACATGTTAGTTTTAACTGATTGTTGGTTGATTGGGGTAAAAACACGGTTAATATAAAAGTTCTTTTTTATAAGATAGGGTACACTAGCACATAGTCCACCTCATGTTAAATGGTTGCTGTGACTCATAGACATGTACATTTATTCTCAATAAAGAATCAAAATGCAGATGCGTCGTCATCCATGAGGACTAAGATGGAATGCCTCTTTTTTTTCAGTAAAATTGGCCTCCGTTTCTCTACACTCACCATAAGAAACACAGCAGTATCAAGCTGCCAATTTACTCTGGTATTCTGTGAGAGCGTGCTCCTTCCCGGCTGAGCCGACCCATTAGTGCTACAACTATACTACTAACATAGCTGCAGCATGGCTCTACCACGTATAATTATTAAACTTTTCTGTACCGTAGCCTAAATAATCCTTAATTAACTGACGGGGTAACCTCGTATGAAACTGTTTGTTAATTAAAATAAATTCAAACTTTAGAAAGAAGTCTTACTAGCTTTCAAACTATTAGATATTAGCCTCACTTCATTATGTCCACTCTAGAACTTTATTTGGATGTGTAATAAATTCAACTAATATCGTGCGTTTTGATAAAATCAATGCCATCCCTGATTATTTTAAAACCTTTATATAGCATAATTGCACCTATTTTATGTGAGTTGGCACTAAACGCACTAAAACGTGGAAAATTTTAGGAAAACATCACAGTTTCCACTTCAAAAACGTTTATGCGCGTGCAATGGCTAGGCTGGCCGCGAGCGCTTGAACTTTAAATTTTTTTATTATTCATACGTTAAAATAATATGAGTATGCCAAATATGTTCTCATCATAACCAAAAATAAAAGCCCTATAATTTTGATATAAGTTTTACGCGGTTTAATTAAAGAATCTGCAAGGTACACGTTTAAAAAGCAAATTAGTGTCATCTTTTTTTTTAATTTATTTATGTACACACAACAAGATACCGAAACCGTCGTATAATGAGTTAGTACAAATTTCTACTTATTCCATAATTTGCTGTAATAGACCCACAAAGGAAAATATATTTAAAAAGGCAAACTTAGTGCGTAAAATACTAATACTACTGTAAATAATATACAAAAACATACGTAAATTATATTATTAAATGATTCTATAAATAAAAATAATACATACAATAGGAACATATAATATATATAACCTAATACTAATATAATAAAATAATATATATTAATTAACAGGATGCAAAGAATTTATCTATAACACGTTTTTTAAATACCAATAATGTTTCAGAATTTCTTATATTAGGCTATAGTGACTTCCACAATCTAACTGTATACAGTTTCTGCTAAATAATCCGAGCGCTCTCTAAGAAAGATCTAATTGTTTCGCCCATACTCGTGGGCTCATCGAAACCTGTTCTCAGGTAACACGGCCCGGTCAGCGCGGTGATTTGCAATTTTAACGTTGGGTCGTAATTCATCAATTAAAACATGTATACCATTAAACATGTACCTATTTAATATTATTGTCAATGTTTGTAAGCAGTCATAGATTAGATAATTGTATTATTTATTACCTTGTATTATATGTGAGACTGTAACTTGCGGACAAACCTCACGGTTTTTGCAAGGTAAATAGATGTAACCCTTGTACTTATTAAAATGTTATAAATAAATGAAAAAAAAAACTGCGTGGATAGAAAAGAAGTAGGAGTAAACACCGGGATTATGGGCGGGAAATTTAAGAAGAGTTTTAACAAGGGATCGGCATGGTTTATCCGGAGAATGGGTGAAAGAAAATCGGGTTCTGAGGAATGAGTGAGAAGATGGATTGTAAAGGATGGTATAGAGGAGACATAACAATCGAGTGTTCCTACGTTAAAGCAAACGTGAGGTAATGATGTAAATTTCAAGTTATTACGATAATGCCTGCTGCCTATTATGATGGCCTGTGATTTAGTGGGATTAACTAATAGTCCAAAGGATGCAGACCATTTACAATTGCGGCTCAGAACCGCATTCTTGACCTCAATTGCATTATTTGTATCACACATCGAAAAATGACGATACAGCTGTAAGTCGTCCGCGTAAAGATGGAAATTAGAAGTAATAACTGTCGTAATAGAGTTAATAAATATAGAAAATAAAAGAGGAGACAAAACGCCACCCAGAGGTATGCCCATAGGGATACCAGACCAATCGGAAAGAGATGATCATTAATACGGACACAGTGCGAGCGACCTCGAAGATACGAATCAAACCACGTAATGGCAGATGGAAAAATGTTTATAGATCCCAAGATCCCGAGAAGAATATCGAAGTCTACTGAGGTAAAAGCACTGCTAAAGTCAAGCAAAACTAGAAGTGTAAGAGATTTGTTGCTCATGGCCCAACGGATATCATCGGTTACTTTAAGTAAAGCAGTGACGGTGCTGTGACCAGGACGAAAGCCCGACTGATATATAGAAAGCAAAGAGTAAGACGATAAGAAAAAAGAAAGTTGCCTATGGATAATGTGTTCCAGAACTTTAGAAAGAAAGGGTAAAATAGATATGGGACGAAAGTGAGAAAAAGAAGAAGGATTAGAAACCTTAGGTAAAGGAATTATGTATGCTTGTTTCCAAACTGAAGGAAAAGATGAGTATGATAAGGAGAAATTAAATATGTGAGTAAAAATTGGAAAAAGTAGAGGTAGAACTGGCATAATCATCTTCGAGCATAGACCATCGTGACCAACAGCATTTGAAGAGATGTCTTGGATGGATTTTTTGACATCTTTCTCCGTCACAAGCGAAAGTTGAAAAGGGAAAACGTGTGGTTTCAGGTTACGCGACAATGTGAGTAGTGTGTTGGATTTGATGTAGGGATCTAAATTCTTAGGAGGAGTAGCAAAATGTTTATTTAGATTATTTACTTTAACGTCTTTGCATTCTAAAATCGAAGACCTGCCGACACCAACAGAACGAAGGAATTTTCACATCTCAGTAGAATTTCTATTATCGATAGAATCATAAAAGTAGCGCATTTTATCATACCGACACAGACGACTGCAGCGGTTTCATAAAACTTTAAAACGATTTAAGTTATTTTCAGATAGCAGACGTTTATACCTTCTGCCTCCGACCCATTAGCTCCCTTGTACCAAATGTAATCCATGGTGCAGTGTTACGCTTTATCTTTACGTGTTTAAGCGGGGCATGGTTATTGTATATGTTCAAAATGATGTCATTAAAATCACAAACTTTATCATTAATATTAGTATTGTCAACAATAGGGGCCCAATCAATTTTACTTACATCACGCTGCAATGCCTCTAGATCTATACCCTTATAATTACGGAGGAACAAGTATTGGGATTTCTGTTTAGGCGGACGCAGACGATAAGAGAGATAGATTAAATCATGACATGAAAAAGATGCAGTTATTTGGCTATGAGGGATTACTCTATCCAGAGAAGAAACGATCATAACATCAAGCAAAGAAGGGTTACAGTTAGTGAAGTGATGAGTTGCACGATGGGGAAGAGTGTAAAGGTTAAAGGAAGATAAAGATGAAAGTCAGAAGTTTATTGGAGCGCGAATCGTTTTTAATAAGGCAGGTATTGAAATCTCCCATAAGAATAATATGATCGTAAACAGGACTAATATTAGAAAGGATTCTATCAAGCGTTTATTTGTTTTATTTTTATTATTATCTTTATTTTTATAATTATTTTAATGAGTGTCTTTATTTTTATAATTTAGCCAATTATTATGATTCGCATGTCTGTCTTCAGAAAAGCTTTGTAGGTATGTTCAAATTTTATTAAACGTCTATTTTAATACAGGCATGAGATTAACTTATCTAATAATACATTTTTTCATTTATGGGGATGAAAATGATAAGCTAATCAGAAAATCAACACAATAGAGCGCAATTTCAAAAATATTGTCTTCATTTTATTTACAGCCCAAGTCTACTGCTAGTACGGTTCTGAGACTCCTGCTTCCTTTGACATTTCTTACCAGGTCAGTCACTCCGTCTAGTGTCTCCATGTTATTTCTGAAATTAACGGCTGGAGAACTTGCACTGGAGTCATATGATATTGGAATTGTTTAAAGGCCAGTCACTCCGTCTAGTGTCTCCATGTAGTTTCTGAAACTAATAGCTGGATAACTTGTACTGGAGTCATATTATATTGGAATTGTTTAAAAATAAAGAATCTTCTGCAATTATCTTAATCTTAGGCTGGACTCACACATCCGGAATGCCTCTCTGAATTAATTATCTGAATTCATATTTTTATTGCCGTGTAGTGGCGGTTAAGAATATCCACTACCCCATATCTTCCCGTGGGTGTCGTAAAAGGCGACAAAGGGAAACAGGCAGAAGATGGGCAGCAGCATCTCCCTGATAATAGCCAAAATTATAATAAAAAAACTGCGGTTGCCAACCCGCTCGCCAAGCGTGGCAACTATGGCAAATACCCCCCAATGACTAAAGCAACAAACAGACGGCCCCCAGTCCCCGGCGGCCCCGCTATTCCTGGCTACGGTGGCGACCATGGTAACGGCGGGGCAGGGGGTGCTAAGAATCTCCGGTGGAGGTTCGGTTGCCACCTTAGACGACTCGACCTGGCAACGTACAACGCACGCACCCTGAGGACTGACGAGAAGATCGTGGATCTGGAAGAAGAGATAGACAAGTTGCGTTGGCATATTATCGGATTATCCGAAGTCCGAAGAGAGGGGGAGGACACGGTAATCCTCGAATCCGGCAACTTGCTCTATCACCGGGAGGGCGACCATCTGTCCCAAGGAGGTGTCGGATTTATCGTCCACAAGTCTCTCGTTAACAACGTTGTAAAGGTCGGGAGTGTGTCGACGAGGGTTGCGTACCTTATACTCAGAATCACCAAACGGTATTCGCTGAAGGTCATACAGGTTTACGCACCAACCTCGGCACACCCCGATCAGGAGGTGGAGGAAATGTATGAGGATATCTCTAGAGCCAT